AGTTTTTGATGAAACTTAACAGCGAATGAGAATTAAATATTGGGAGGTATGGGGCAGAAAAAATATCTTTGCGTTTTTGCTCAATTTAAACAATATTGGAACGATAGAGAAGTCAAAAGTATTTCTTTCAGAATTAATCTCCTGGACAATTTCTTTGGATTACTACGAGGCCTAGTATTAATTGCCCGTTGGGAAACTGTGTCCTGGGGACCTTTGGATCCAGTGTTCCTGTGTCTGCAGTGTTCCCGATTTGCTGATCTTCAGCGATCTCGAATTCTCAAATCACAGCCTCGACACCAATACATGAGCCTTTAGACACTGATTTGTCACTTGGAAGGTAATAATGGTTTGAACTCTGCGGTTACACTTCCTTTTTTGTATTAAAATATGATTTTAGTGTGAAAAAATGTGTGAAAAACTTTTTTTCTTGTACATAATTTACTTCTTTTATGCTTGCTTTATTTCTTACCATTGGCCAATGATTCTTTAACTTTTATGGCAAACTGTTAAGTGACGTTCCTCTGGGTGAGAGATAGTAGGGACGCATAAGTTAGGAAATCAGAGATAAAAGGCAGAAACGATTATAAGTAGTTTGTAACTATTGGTACTGTTAAAATTGGTTGCGGCCACTAGATGGCCCACGAAGAAAGAGGGTGTCAAGACAAAAGGAATGGGAAGAAAAGCTCGCAGGGTCAATAAAATTCTGAGTACGTCTCTACGGGCGCCCTGAAACAAAACCGTAATTCTCATGACGGGTGAAGGAGAGGCTGCGGCTTGGGGGGGGAATGACTGTGAATTGATCTGGCCTCCTACTTTCTTCGGGAGGCGGGAAGTTTGTGTGGTGAGGCGAGGAGCGCGGAGAGCAGCAAGCGGCGAGGACACGGGGCAGGGACAGGACATGAAGCAAAAGGCCAGGGGCAGCCACAGGGCGCCACGGGGCATGAGAGAAGGCGTGGAGGGAGCAAAGAGGGATGGCCAGGAGGAGGAGGCTGAAGGACGGGGGACGCTGGGAGGGGGCAAGAGCTGGGGCAATGGGGCAAAAACGGGCAAGAGAGTGGCGGACGCAGGCCTTTTATCTCATTCCTTTGATAGAAGTAAAATGAGTACAATTTAGTGTAGCTAAATGGGTGGGAATTAACGTAAGTGAGAGGATCAGAAGACTTACGCATGTATGTATGTCATTATGGGTATATATGTGTATAACTGTGAGTGAATTTATTAGAACTATATATATTTAGTGTATGTTATATTGAATATATCACATACAGCATATATATAAACTGGTTTGTTCCTTAGGGGTCCTTTCATGTTCTCTTTTTACTATTGTGCTCTCCTCACCCTATTTTGAGGGATCGCTCAGTGTCTTCATCCTCTTATGGGGTACCCAGATGCCTCCTCTGATTTTTCCTGCGACTTCCTTTCATTTCCATTGAGTTCTGCTAAGTACAATTTTTACGTAAGTGAAATAAATATTTACAAAATCAGTGAAAATTACCTTATATATTTTACTTTCATGATTAATTTTCAGAACAAATATTAATGCAATTTCAGGATATACAATTATTATAGGGGAAGAATTTTAGGCTGGAGCAATTTTTGCTGATGCCATGTGGAAAGTGCCTATTTGTCCTAACTATGAGGTAAAGTCAGGAACTTTGGGTATATACTTTGTATCAGTGAATATATTTTAAACTTCTGCATTTATAACTGTTTGGACTTTTAAAAAGCCAATTAAAAATTTTGATCTTTTAGTCTTCTAGAAGATAAACATTCTATGTTGGTTTGATGCCCATGGAGGCAGCTTCTTTGTCTTACTAAAGAGGCCTCCCTACCCTGATCACCACTCTTTCCATTCAGAATCAACCACCTCTTCATTCAACACACAAGACCAGGAGCTGACTCCCTTCCCTAACACCACACACCAAAGAAGAGAAGGAAGGTTGCTGTGAATAAACAGCATGAGCTTACATCATCAATATGCTGGTGGACTAAATGAGTCAACTGATCCCTAAAGAAAATATGTCATTGAAAGTATGTGTCCATATAATCAAACATTAAGTTATAAATGTTAATATTATTACTCTCAATAGCCAAATGTTTGCCATTTTATAGGAAAAATAACGTCTATAATCTCCAGAAGCTAGCTACCATTCATATAAAGAAAAACCTTTAAAAAATGCCCAACTCAAAATTTACAGTTGAAGAATGGAAATGCTATTTATTTTAATTACTTGCATATATTAACCATTACTGAGTTTTTTTCACTGAATTTGAACTATTTGTCCTAAGTTATAAATTGATTGAATGTACTTTATTCCTTTGATATTTTCTTTCTTTCCCTTTTTTTTCAGTGATACATTTTATCTCAGCTTCTAATAGTTATCTGTCAGGAAAACACTGCTTCCACAATAGGCTTCATGTGTCTCTCTGTATTACGTATTTTCTTTAAGGTCTTCCTTTGTGGTTTCTATACCAAAATTTATTCCATGAGTCACTGTAACATCTCTGAGTCAGTGTTTTGATTAAATGTTTATTAAAGGTTGATATTGTGCCCAATGGCCAACACATTATCCACCCTGAATTCTTGTAATGTCTTGCTCCTGTTCTGAACAGGGTGATGGGCATGACCAACAGCAGTGTCAAGGGAGACATCATCCTGGTGGGCTTCTCTGATCAGCCCCACCTGGAAAAGATGATCTTTGTGGCTGTTTTGATATCCTATCTCCTTACCCTTGTGGGAAATACAGTAATTATTCTGATCTGCTCTGTAGACCCTAAACTCAAGACACCCATGTACTTTTTTCTTACTCACCTCTCCTTAATTGATATCTGTTTTACCACCAGTATTGTCCCTCAGCTGCTGTGGAACCTAAAAGGACCTGCCAAAACAATCACATTCCTGGGTTGTGTCATCCAGCTCTATATCTCCCTGGCAATGGGCTCCACTGAGTGCGTCCTCCTGGCTGTAATGGCTTTTGATCGCTATGCTGCAGTTTGCAAACCTCTCCACTATACAGCTGTAATGAACCCTGGCTGTGCCAGGCTCTGGCAGGGGTTGCGTGGCTGAGTGGAGTGGGAAACACTCTCATCCAGGGAACTGTCACCCTCCGGCTGCCTCGCTGTGGACACCAGTTGCTCCATCATTTCGTCTGTGAGGTACCCTCCATGATTAAGCTTGCATGTGTGGACATCCATGACAATGAGGTTCAGCTCTTTGTTGCTTCATTGGTCTTACTCCTCTTGCCCTTAATGCTAATATTGCTGTCCTATGGACATATTGCCAAGGTGGTCATAAGGATCAAGTCAGTCCAGGCCTGGTGCAAAGCCCTAGGGACATGTGGATCCCACTTGATAGTAGTGTCCCTCTTCTATGGGACCATCACAGCTGTCTACATCCAGCCCAACAGTTCTTATGCCCATGCTCATGGGAAATTCATCTCCCTCTTCTATACAGTTGTGACCCCGACCCTCAATCCCCTCATCTATACACTGAGGAATAATGACGTGAAAGGAGCACTGCGAAGATTATTTCACAGAGACTTCACATAAAAAATGAAACAGAGTACACAGCGCTCAACTTTTTTCACAAAGAAACTTTAAAGGTCATCTTGTATAATTCTTCACTCAAGAATTTTAGCAGTCTATAAAGGAAGAGATAAAATCTTCTCTATCTGCATTACTGTATTTCACTTGGCCTCAGAACTGTCTATCCTCTCCAATCTTTTTCCAGATTTCTTTTGAGCCCATGTAAGGCAATATTCCCCCATACCTTTTAAATCTCCATGAGTCACATCATTTCTGTTTCTCGCTCTCCCTCCCTGTGCTTTTCTTTAGCCTTCCTTCCTTTCTTGCTTTTTTCCTTCCCTTCCTTCCTTTTCCACCTTTTATTTCTTCTTTTCTTCTCATTTGTGTGATGTGTTTTACAGCCATTTTCCCGGTGCTTCTACATTATATCCTTTCCCATGAATATTCTAACAATTCCTGAAAACAACTAGCTCTAAAATGTGTTTCTCATTTATCACAATAAAAAGCTTGCATTTGCTTTGTGGGGAATAGTGGAGAGATTAGACTAGAGAATTCGGATTTTAACTCTACAACTTCCTTTTTGAGTTTGTGTAAATTTCATTGGATTTTTGGACCCAAGTTTACTTCAGAGTAAAAAAAAAAGAGCTTGACTATTATGTTGATTAAGCTATAAAAATATAAATAAAGCACCTGGTAATACATGATCAATAAAAATCAATTAACATATGTGTGATCTACTTTTTTAGTCATAGTTTTCTTCATATTTTGATCTCTTATATGCTTATTACTTTCAATTGTATCCAATAAAAATTCTTACGTAGTCTATATTTACCCACTTGTGTTTCTATACAAATGGAAAAACAAATATCTGAAAATATAAGAAAAATAAGTCAATCCGTGTTTTGTCTTTATAATATGTGAAGAACATGATTTATTTTCTCTACTAAGTTATGGAAGTGTGACACACTTGCTTTTAATGGTGATAGCAGAGTTGAAGGTGTCATTTCCAGAAGTACAGATACTTTAGTGTGGCAGTAAAAAATATTATTTGAACTTGGAGACACCAGAGTCTATATCCTATCTCCACCATTTATTTACCAGCTGAATAACTCTGGGTAAATGATTTAATAACTCTGAGCCTCAGTTTCTAAAATGGGAACATTTCTAAAATGAGGACAACCTCAAAAATTCAATGTACTTTAGTAGATAATTAGAAGGCAGACAGTAAGGACTCAGTAAATGTCAGTTATGATTAATAAACTGTTGATTTTCTCAGTAATAATCATATCAGATTGAGTAGCCTTGAAGGCAAATATACAGATCTTTCCCAGTCATATATTGTATGGAGAGTCACTAGTCATTAATACTCAACTAAGTTTGCTTGCAATAATCAAGCAGGTTCTGCTTTTGACATGTGACCAATATGTTTTTAGCTGTTTTATGAAAACATGCACTTTTGCATAGATAAGCCAATAATAACAAGTCTACTATTATGTAATGATTTTGACTCAACTGTGATCTAATGATTGTCACTCAATTATAGTATATGATTCTTGCTTTGATTTCTGTGGTTCCCCATTCCCAGAGTATAGGGGAAGATGTATTCCTCATATTCACATAAAACTCAATTTCTCAACAAAGATATTCTTATGCAAGCATTATGCAGCACACCTCAGGTTTAGTCATCTAGTTTACCTTCCAGCCTATAAGCTGGATTCATCTATGATAGTCCTGATTGGCAAAGTTCTCTTGAAAGCTGTACTAGCATGAACCGTTACTCACCTGTACAATTATTCATTTTAGTGTTTGTTCTTATGTTTAATATTACCACAAGTAATCTCTCTCCCTCTATTATCCTGTTACACTTTTTAAATTTTACAACATACTTGGCCGGGCGAGGTGGTTCATGCCCGTAATCCTAGCACTTTGGGAGGCCGAGGCAGGCAAATTATCTGAGGTCAGGAGTTCAAAACCAGCCTGGCCAACATGGTGAAACTCCGTCTCTACTAAAAATACAAAAAATATCCAGGTTCAGTGGCACACATCTGTAATCCCAGTTACCTGGGAGGCTGAGGCAGGAGAATCGCTTGAACCCAGGAGTTGGAGGTTGCAGTGAGCCGAGATCATGCCACTGCACTCCAGCCTGGGCTACAGAGTGAGACTCAGTCTCAAAAACAAACAAACAAACAAACAAACAAACAAACAAATAAACAGTATACTTGTTAAATTACATCAAAATTCAATCAATAATAAGTTTATATGACATAAAATGAACTGTGATCTCCACCCTTTAAGAACCACCCTTTAAATAGAAATGTGCACTAAGAACTGATGTCAACTCATAGATCAACATATCAGTGTATTCATGATTCATTTAATCAGTAATAGTTTATGTAGGTTTATCATTGTGAGTGATTAGAAGATGCTAGCACTGTCAACAAATAATATATAATATTCCTCTAGAAGGTATATGATGACTTATAAAAGAATTAAAAAGCAATTTAAGGTTTTACTAGATGCAAAATAAAACAAGAAGGCAAACATATTGAATGTCTATGTGTTTGAGAAATTCACAGTAAAGAATAGATGGACTACCAACTATGGAATATTATTTTGAAGGAAGAAATAAAACTATAAACATATGTGGAGTAAAGAAAACTACATTCCAGATGAAAACATCCTGAATATGCTAAGGATAAGAGGTCATTATCTCCGGAAGATAAAAATCAGGTCATTGGATTCCAATAACATACATCAGGAATAAAAATAACATGGTACCTTACATTTTTATAGCTAGAACTGTATAATTTTTTCTTTAATTGAGACAGAGTCTTGTTCTGTCTCCCAGGCTGGAGTGCAGTGGTGGCGATCTCAGCTCACTGCAACTCCACCTCCCAGGTCAAGCGATTCTCCTCAGCCTCCCAAGTAGCTGGGACTACAGGCGCGTGCCACCACACCTGGCTAATCTTTCTTTTTTTTGTATGTTTAGTAGAGACAGGATTTCGCCATGTTGGCCAGGCTGTTCTCAACCTCCTGACCTCAGGGGATCCTACCATTTCGGCCTATCAAAGTGCTAGGACGACAGGCATGAGCCACTGCACCCAGCCAACTATGTAAATTTTTAATGAGGAGCTTTTCCCAAGATGGCCGAATAGAAACAGCTCAGATCTGCAGCTCTCAGTGAGATCAATGCAGAAGGCAGGAGATTTTTGCATTTCCAACTGAGGGACCTGGCTCATCTCACTGGGAGTTGTTAGAGAGTGGGTGCAGCCCACAGAGGGTGAGCCAAAGCTGGGTGGGGCATCATCTCACCCTGGAAGTGCAAGGGGTTGAGCAACTCCCTCCACTAGCCAAGGGAAGCCATGCGGGATTGTGCCATGAGGAATGTCGCCCTCAGATCCAGATACTATGTTTTTCCCATGGTTTTCACGACTCGCAGACCAGGAGATTCCTTGGGCGCCTCTGTCAAAGGGCCCTGGGCCCTTTATAGTGCAAGCGCAAAACTGGGCTGCCAATTAGGCAGACACCGAGTTAGCTGCAGGAGTTTATTTTCATACCCCAGTGGCAAGCCAGGGAACAAAGTAGTCTTGCTCAGCGGATCCCACCCCCAGGAGCCCAACAATCTAAGAACCACTGGCTTGAAATTTTCGCAGTAAGCATAGCAGTGTGAACTCAACCTGGGACACTCTAGTTTGGTGCGGGGAGGAGCATCCGCCATTACTGAGGCTTGAGTAGGCAGTTTTCCCTCACAGTGTAAACAATGCCACAGGGAAGATCGAACTGGGCAGAGCCCATTGCATTTAACCAAAGCCCCTGTAGGTAGACCGCCTCTCTAGATTCCTTCTCTCTGGGCAGGGCATCTCTGAAAAAAAGGCATCAGCCCCAGACAGAGGCTAATAGATCAAATTCCCATCTCCCTGGGACAGAGCACCTGGGGAAAGAGGAGGCTGTGGGTGCAGCTTCGGCAGACTTAAACATCCCTGCCTGCCAGCTCTGAAGAGAGCAGTGGATCTCCCAGCACAGGGTTCCAGCTATGTAAAGCAACAGACTGTCTCCTCAAGTGGGTACCTGACCCCCATGCCTGCTGACTGGCAGGCACCTCCCAGCAGAGGTGGACAGACACATTACACAGGACAGCTCCAGCTGGCATCTGGCGGGTGCCCATCTAGGACAAAGCTTCCAGAGGAAGGAATATCTCTGTTCCTTCCTCCCAGAGGAAGCAATCTCTGCTGATCTGCAGCCTCCACTGTTGTTACCCAGGGAAATAAGGTCTGGAGTGGACCTCTAGCAAACTTCTGCAGATCTGCAGCAGAGGGCCCTGACTGTTAGAAGGAAAACTAACAAACAGAAAGGAATAGCATCAACATCAACAGAAAGGACATCTACTCAGAAACCCCATCCGAAGGTCACCAACATCAAAGACCAAAGGTATAGAAATCCACTAAGATGAGGAAAAAACAGCACAGAAAGGCTGAAAATTCCAAAATCCAAAACGCCTCTTCTCCTCCAAGGGATCACAACTCCTTGCCAGCAAGAGAACAAAACTGGATGGAGAATGAGTTTGATGAATTGACAGAAGTAGGCTTCAGAAGGTGGGTAATAACAAACTCCCCCAAGCTAAAGGAGCATGTTCTAACCCAATTCAAGGAAGCTAAGAACCTTAAAAAAAGTTTAGAGGAATTGATAACTAGAATAACCAGTTTGGAGAAGAACATAAATAACCTGATGGAGCTGAAAATACAGGAAGTATTTTCTGTATATATATATTGAATCATACACAAGTATCAATAGCCAAATCAACCTAGTGGAAAAAAGGATATCAGAGATTGAAAATCAACTTAATGAAATAAAGCATGAAGACAAGATTAGAGAAAAAAGAACGAAAAGTTACAAACAAAGTATCCGAGAAATATGGGAATATGTGAAAAGACCAAATCTATGTGTGATTGGTGTACCTGAAAGTGACAGGGATAGTGGAACCAAGTTGGAAAACACTCTTCAGGATATTATTCAGGAGACCTTCC